AGTTTTCTAGGAAAGGAAAAATGAGTCACCAGTAGTTATTGTGACATATAAAAGAGAGGTTGATTATGAATTGTGAAGTGTCCCAAGAATTAGTGTCGTAGATTGAAGTGTGTATACTCTTCCTGATTGAATTTGATGAGTGTGAAGATTGGACACTCATCATCATCCTTGGTATGATCACAGAGATGGCCACTGCATAACAGGAAGGAGAATGGGTCAATATTACTCTTCTAACTTGGGGAAACAAAGTATAAAATGAGGCAGTAGTCTTCTTCAGGAAGTGCTGAAAATGTATTGTTATTTTTCAGTAGATTTTTTTTACAAGGACATTATCTGCTGCTAAACACTCAGTAAGTATTAATAGCTGTACTAATTGAGCATTTATTACTTGCCAGGCACTACATTAAGTGTTCAATGTATGTTTTCTCATTTAATCTTTACATGACCCTATGATGTAGATGCTACTAACATTCTTACATTAGGAATCTGAGGCATAAAGGGTTAAATAATTTTTCCAAGATCACACATTTCATTGCTAGCTATAAAAGACTGTAGTCATCCCTCAATACACACAGTGTACTGGTTCCAGAACCACTGTGCATACCTTATATGAATAGGTATCATATTTCTTGTATTCCTGTACATATCCTCCTGCATACTTTAAATCATCTCTAGGTTACCTAGAACCCCTAATACAAGGTATGTAAATACTTGCCATACTATAATGTTTAGGGAATAATGACAAGAAAGAAGTCTGTATATGATATATGAAGATATGTATAGCATAGCATGGCCTATGCTATTAATAACTAATGCCAGCTTCTTGTACTTCAATCATGCTACTTGATTTTGTACATGGTTTACCTAGCTAAATCGGAAGCCCCAATCAAATCATGGCCACAAGATTATATTGAGGGATGCCATAGAAACCTTCCATGCTCTTACTAATTACTATTAATTTTGCTTTAGTGGAAGGCACATTGGATTGGGCATCAGGACAAATGAATTCTGGCACCAGATAAGCTCTTGGAATCACTTCCTTCATCTGCAAGGTGGAATGAATAGTGTCACCTGTTTGAAGCCAGGGCTAGACCACATGGTATCCCCGACTGAACAGTTGCAGAATAATACATTTCCAGTTGTGTTTTCTGGGGGCTAGGGATGCTGGTATAGATCCGATTAATCATGACTTGGGCATCTTAAATGGTAACATATGGTTCAATGGAAAGAAATCCCTTGCCTCAGTGTGGTGTTCACATTTCTGTGAATCTTGCATTCTACAGCCATCAAGGAATCAGACACAACAGCAAAAGGACAGTCAATAGTTTTCCACATAACAGTCTTCCTCCTGTGAGAAACCTCTGTGTCTTCACCTTGAACATGTTATATTATCTTTGGTTTATCATCCCTAACTAAAAATAAAATTAAAAGTATGTAGAGAGAAAAGATTATATATATAGTATTTTTCTAAGAACCAAGATTGATTGATTTTTTTTCAGATATAAATATTCTTAAGGGATGTTGATGGCTGTATTGAATTAGCAGTTTACCAGATTACATAGTTCTGTGGGTAATTTATCATTGTATCAGATTCCGTTTACTCTGTCACATTATTAAAGGTTATCTAGGATGTGTGAGATATGTTCCTGAAATATTGACAAACCCATTTTGAATTTCTCCTTTTGATTTAAAGTCCCTGACTGCAGGCACTAATTCCAAGCATGTCGGATATCTGTTATTATCTGAGTATCTGTAAGGAAAGCGAATATTAATTAAGGTGGTTATCCTTTTTCTCCTCACAACTGATTCTTTTGCTAGAATAGTAATAATACTGTTTTCAATAAAAACACTACTTAGGTTTTCATTTCTTTTCTCGTACACCAGTTCTTTATTATAAAATTGAGATAGCCTCTCCAGTCTGAAAGGTCTTCCAATTTATCAGAAAGGGACAACCTAATCAATGTTCCAAAGCAGACTCAGTCCTTTTAACACACACCCGTCTTAGAACTAACCAAGGGGAGTATCAGGGTCTGCAGGAAAACATTTATTTCCTGGCCCATTGTTATTTTAAATGCTTCCAGGAGACCACAGCGTAAGAGGAGAGATCTAATAACCCTTGGCATGCCTGGAGGATGGCTTGTTCTTTCGTATTTGTGGAACCCTGTGTTGAGAGAGAAAAGCATCTAAAAATAAAATGCATTTACTCCAAATCTCTGGGGCAAGGTGCAAAGAGCCTGTTCTGTAGAAGCCAAGATTAAAAATTAAATTGTTGAAATCTGCAGAGAAACTGCCATCAGCAAAACCATGGGCTCTTTCCGGTTAACTTTGTGCCATCTGATTAGTTTCAATGAACTGGCTTTGAGTAATCATGTCCTTTGGTCTTTTTTGTTGCTATCCATAACTGATGGTGACCCACTTGCTGGTGGGTGGTTTCTTCACAGTCCAGTGACTATTGGCTTTTCCAAGCATTAATTTAACTCACCAATGTATACAGCTGCCAAAATGGGATCTGGTTTGTTCAATATGCTAATCAAGTTCCACTAGCTAGGAATAAGAAAATCATGGTGGTCTGCATGTATCATTCTTATAGCTCTTCCCCTGGAATGTAACAGGAAATGAAAAATAGAGTATGGTCCATAAAGGGGAGAAAGTAAGCTGGATGGGACAGGTACACTGATTATCTACTGGTTGGTTCTTACTCTCTTGGATTTTACTCCAATTTTCGACTCTTTCCATAAGTATAAAATCTTAAAACTAAAAGATTGAATGCTGTAGCCTTTTCATTTCTATATGTCTCCCTATCAGCCCATAACCCTATCATTGCTACCACTATATTTTCAAACAGCTTTCAACAGTGACCTGGTTTTATCACGTATTTGAAAAGTTCTCTTCTTTTGGTAGAACTTCAGGAATATTGAGAAAAATCTTTAGAAATCAGAGCAAGTCTGTTGCTGATGTCTGATGAAGAAAAAAGTAAAAAAAGTGAGCTGTGGAATTGCAAGCATTGATTATGCAAATTGGAGTGTGATTTTGTTCCAAAGAAAGTATTTTACTTTGGGGTGACAAATATATATATATTTCTTTGTTAAAGAGGCATGTTACATTTTGCAGTCCCCATATAACTTTAGCTTTGATGTCCATCTTTGCTGGTTTAAATATGCTTTGTGTCCCCTGTGATAAAAGTCCCAGTCCCCATGGTGATGCTGTTTGATGGTGGTAGAACCTCTGGATTGTGGGCCTAGAAGGAGACCTTTAGGTCCCTGGAAGCAGGAGGAAGATGAGGTTTCAAATGTGACTGGTTGGTAGTTCTTATAGAATACCTTGAGTTCTTGCAAGAGGATTATTATAAAAGAAACAAGCTTGGACCCCTCCTGTCCTCTTTCTCTGTTCCTGTCACCCTTACATGGGCTCCTGCCAAGATGTGTTGGCTTCCGCGGCTCTCACTGATGTCAAATGAATGGCTGCCTGATCTTAGACTTGAATCTCCAAAACTGTGATCTAAATAATCCCTTTCCTTATTAAGTAGTCTGTTCCAGTTTGTTACAGTGATGCAAAGCTGACTGGTATATCATCCAATTATATATTTAAAGATAGTCAAAGTTAGGTGATTAGGAAGGCATAAGGACACAGGGTCACTTCTGCACAAGTCTGTGCTTCCTTGAGCCCAAGCCAGACCCTGACTATTGGCTGGTTGGTGACAGACACTTTCTAGCTGCTTCCAGAAATGTATATCTTCACTGATCAGAGATTGGGGCACATCAGTAAAGAATACTTTCATGTGCAGTGAACCTTTAAATTAAAAAGTTTCCTTCAATATTGTTTTTGTCATATTATTTGCATACTCTTTTGGAAAGATGATAATTTGTAAGTGAAAAATCCATGCTGCAAAGAATTTTTAAAACTTTGCCTAGTTTTCAGCAGGATAAATGTATCTGACAGTAGCCTTGGTGTCTGTAAGAAAGATAGGTTTGCAATTGGTGGGGTCAGAATGTCCACAGGAGCACTGTGAGAAACCTTGAAATGTTAGCAGAGGAGTATTTTCAGCAGTGGAATTCAAGGGAAGGTTATATTGGTGGTCTTTTGAGCAGTCATTTTTAATGTCTTTTACACTATCTGACATTATAAGTGCTTTTAACAGCACATTAAATTCGGGCTTTAATTTCTAGCCTCAGTAGCAACATCGCTTCAGATCTAGCTTAATTTTCTGAGATACAAAGTATTTGGTTATCTGTTTTATGTATAAGTGGAGGAGGGAGTAGTTGGGTGATAAATACATTTTGAATTCTGTTTTCTTCCAATTTATAGTATAAACTTTTTTTCAGAAATGTATGCCTACTTATAACTTTGCAAAATGCCTTTTCAGAAAATGCTTTGACTATTCATTTAGATAATATTTCTTGTCACCTTATGTAAGCTGAATGCTGTTAAGACTTAAGTGTGTGAGTTCTTAAACTAAACTGTAATTTTAGTGATATTTTAACTTTATATCATTGCCTTAGCCTGTTTGCATATTGCATTCAGCCTAAATTTAAGGACTTTGTTAAACAGATGTTGGTAAGTAATTTTGACATGATTTGTCTCATGGACCAACTGTATTTTATAAACACTTTTATATTTTACTTTTTAATACACTGTTGCACTGAGAGGAAAAACTGAGTTTCTGTGCTTCCATTGTGATTTGGTATTGACTTTGCTCTGCTAGTTACTAATTATTTTGACCTAAATGCTTGACAGAAGACATCAAGCCCTGTGTGAGTATGAGAGAGAAATGAGGCTGAATGTTACAGAGTTGTCTTTACGTGCCATTGAGTTGTGGTCAGCCTCTCCCTGAAGGGCTGTAACCCGTTTCGACCACTTCCTCTTTGGGAGAGTTGCAAAGTATAGAAACTTCTGAGGAAGAGGCCCAGCCTCAGGGATAGGGTGAGGAGCCCTCTTCCTCAGAATCACCTTGCATGGCAGTGGGCCATGAATGGCCTTTTCCTGCTATGACTCAATCCCCACCCACTTGTCAGTTAAGAGTCTTTGGGAAGAGACAGAAAGCACAGTTGTGGCTGTGGAAGCCAAATTTTCATTGTTTGGTGCTGCTTCTTGCACAGTGAATGCCAGCTGCTCCTTGGTCAGGTATGCTGCCATTGTCTTGAGGGTGATTAGGGACAAAAGTGGTGATGTACATGTGTCAGGGTAGGAAACCTGTAAATGTAGATTTGGGGGGTACTGACTTTAGGAAAATCTACACATTTCCTATTGGAATCAGAAGTAGGCAGGCAAGAAAATTTTGATTGTAGGATCAACCAAAGTCAATTTAATGGGAGCTGTAAAATGTACTCTGGAGATAAGACATTGATGAGAAAAATGTTCTTTACAAAAGACTAGAAAGGTCATGGAACAATTGTGACAGTTCAGCCTCTCATTTTTTTTCATTTCACTACCCAAGTTAATGCTCCTGTGGTCTCCTGGGTGAATGCAACAGTCTCCTCACTAAGTTCCTGTGTTCATCCTGCTCCACAGACGTTGGCTTTCATGCATTGAAAATACAAGTCATATTTTGCTACTTCTTTGCCCAGATTTCCAGAGACTTCCCATCTCCCTAGGAACATTCTTACCATCACCTTCAGGGCCTTCCTGGAGCTAACAGTGTCCTCTCTCTTTCCTCATTTCTCCGGACTCTTATTCTCATGCACTCCATTCAGGTCCCTCTGCTTTTGTTTTTGTTTCTCGAATAAGACAGCACACTCCCTCCTCAGAGCTGTTCCACCTACATTTCCCTCTGATTAGACTGCTTCTACTCCAGATGTCCACATTAGTCACTTCCTCTCTTCACTCCTGTCTCTCTTCAAATGACACTTGAGAACAGAGGCTTTTATGGCCATGCTGTCTAAAAAGCACACTCAAGAATGTCCTACTCACTTTGTCACATTCTTTCTCATAGCACGTATTACCAGCTGTCATATATTCAGTTATGTGGAGTCATGAAATTGCCTCCTGGTGGGTCAGGAACAGCTGAATGTTAGCCATTTGGAAAGTTCAACCACAAATAAATTTATTAATTTCTTTATTGTTTTTATTCCTACCTTATTCTAGTATTTAAGCTCTGTGAATCCAGGTTTTTGTTTTGTTTTTGGCAACATCTCTGGAACATATAGCATAGCAGGTATTTAGAAAAGTTGTATTGAATGAATGGAAATGATAGTAAGGGAAGAAAACTTATATGGGAAGTAATGTTTGAGTGTATGATTTGGAAGAGATTCTAGGCTTCTGAGGGAGTCCAGAACATTGAAGGATTCATTTGGAGCCATGTGAAGTTCAGTGTAACATTTCTAATTTGAGCTTTGAGATATTTATGGATTTTATATTCTTTCCATGTGTTTTTGTCTGAAAATGAGACTAAGAGACATCATAAATGCTTTGGATAATATAATTCTGAATTTAAAGTTTCACAGTGGGTAAGTTGCATGGATTTAGCTTGTCAATTATGACGATTTTTGCTAGGGAAGTTACTTTTTATTTCCAGTTCAATAAATGTGGTTAATCTTAATGTCATCCGTACTACAAACCCTTAGATAAAATAAAACAAGCAGCTTGTTTCGTGAATATCTGATCCTGAAAGGAAATGAAGCTATCACCATGGGTCAGAAATAAAGATGGGATTGAAAACCTCAGGGATCAACATTGGAACTGATGCTGTGGTTGCCCTGGAAAGAGCATTAGTCACACTAACCAAGGGCTTGGCTTTAACAATCATGTGGGCATATGAAATGGAAAAATTGAGACTGGACCAGAGATCTTCAGCCTAAAGTTGTGATGTCTGAAGAAAAAAGTGTAGGAAAAAGATCTGTCATTAGCATGGAAGAGACAAAGAAGCATTGTCTTAGAATATAATTCTCCTCCAAAGATATATTGTTGAGGATTTGCACCTCTTTTGATTTTGGGATTTGAATTTGTACTACTTATGTAGAATGGGAAAATAAATGGAAAAATTAACCCAAAGAGCCTAAAGCACCTGATTAAATTACAAATTACTCTGGACAGAGTTACTATTAAACTCAGCTTCATAAGTTTCCTACAGATAAAGACCGTTAGAAAATCAACTCACAACCTCAAATTATAAAACATGAGAAAAGGACCTCCTATGAGAACAAACATAACACAGAACATGATCAGAATTTAAGACCTTCAAATGATAGAACTACCACGTTGAAACTATAAAATAAGAATATTGAAAATGAGACACAAGAAAGGGTTTATAAATATAAGAAGAAAATTGGGTTTGAAAAACTGAACAGAAACTCTAAAAGTGAAAAATACAATAATTGAAATAAAGTATTATCATAGGTTAAACAAATTATAAATGGTTGAAGAGAAAATAGTGGAGCATAATTTGAAGAAATAAAACCAAAGGTACTGAAAAATATAGAAATATGAAAGAGAAATTAAAAGATATACTGGAGAAAATGAGAGTATTGAATAAGTGTTTAGTAGACATTCTAGAAGTTAATATCTGACTATGATGCAATTAAATTAGTAACTTAAGCAAAAAGAACAAAAAAATCCCAAATGGATTGAAAATTAATACCTACTCTTGTAAACAACTCATGAGTCAAATAAGAAACATAATGCAAGCTAGACAATATTTAAAATTTAATGTTAATATAATATAACAAAACATATGGGAAGCAACAAAAGTGGTAGCTAGAAATTTATAGTCTTAAGTATATAAGAAAAAAAAATTAATAGGCTTACATCCTAAGAATTTAGAAAACAAAACACAAAGTATAATAAAGTAAAACTTGTATAGTAATAAAATATAAAGAAAAATCAAAAGCTGGTTCTCTGAAGACTCATAAGTAGGGTAATTTACAGATTTGAGCAAGAAAAAAAAGCCATCTTTAAAAAAGTCTGCAAATGTTACAGCTAATGGTAATATGTTAGAAATAATACCTTTACATCTTGGACAAGGAATAAAGTTCTCTGTTTATATTTAAGTAGTTGTCATCATCAATGCTGTAAATAAAGGAAGTAAATAAAAGGTAGAAGAAAAGAAAAAAGCAAAATTGTTATGAAGACAATAAATAAAAAAGTTGAAATAATACAAAAAAGTTCAGGAGAATTGGTGTATATAAACTAAATCACCTTTGTATATTAGATATGTTAAAATTAGATATGTTTAAAAGCACATACTATGAGTGCTATGCACAAAACACAGAAACAAATATAGTTATAAATATAATAAAAACCATGAACATGGAAACAAAGTCTTCGTAAATAGGGAAGGGTGGAGGGGTTGACGCGAGAGAGGGGGAATGGGGAAAAAACAAGAACCAAGATATATCATCTTGTACAGGTACAAGATCCCAATGATGAATGTAACTGTATTGTAGACCTAAAATGTACCAATAAACTTAATGGAAAAAAGACATGAAAGTCCTTTTCAGATAGTTACACAATTTTAAGCTAAGACTCATAAAATTAAGTAAATGGAGAGATATTCTATACCTAAAGTACAGTAAGTGTCATAAGAATTGAGATGTGTTACGTATATGTACCAATTTCCACAAGAAATGTAATCTTTATGTGCTGTAAACATACTAATAAAAACTAAAAATTAAAAAACAGATTTACATTTTTACTGTATTTATAAATTACAATGTAAGTTCATATAGGTATTTTTATTAGTTTGAAGAATTTTTGTTTTATTTTTAATGTATTCTTTGATATATGAAACATAAAAATTTGAGAAATTTGGCAAAAGTATATATGAGGAGCTATAGGGCCAATAATAACAAACACAATTTTGAAGAAGTTGGGAAGATTGATCCTACCACATATTAATAGTTACTGTAAAGGAATAATAATTAAGGCTTTGGAGTATTAGAGCAACAACAGAAAATATAACATTCAGAACCTAGCCCATGTATGTCTGAGGATATATTACAGATTTGTGTGGAAAGGACACCAGAAGTGGTGCTAGGAGATATATTCTCATAGGAGGAATAAAATAATGAGATCCCTTTCTCATATTCTATGCAAGTTAAATTCCAGGCAGGAAGTAAGTATAAAAGAGAAGAGAAAAATAAAGAATTTATGTTTTTGGAGAAAAAGAAAATGTATTAGATATATTAATGGTCAGTGGGATGGGAAGAATATGACATTAAAACACAAACTATAAAGACAACTAATGATAGATTGATTGTATTAAAAAATATGTATAGTAAAAGTAGCCAACAATATTTAAAAAGAACTTCAGACTATAAGAGATGTATAATGCATATAACCAACAAAAATGAGTATATACTTGTAAGAAGTTTTATAAATATTGAAAAATTCAGCCCTATAAAAATGTAATTGAATGCTATGAATAAGTAATTCACAGAAGAGGAAACAAGAATGATTGATAAATAAGTAAATAATTGTTTTACCTCAGTAGTAATGGAGTAAATGCAGCTTAAAAACATGATAATTCCTTTTCATACCTATTAGTTTAGCACAAAGTAAAGTCAGAAAGTATCAAATATTGACAATGTGGAAGAATAAACTGGTACATTCCATTGGCAAAACAGTTTGAATTATGTAGTAAGGGTGAAAATGTGTATATCCTGAAGAAGCAATTCCACTTGTATGCACACTCTGGGATTGTGTTGTATGTGTTTGCCAGGAGACACGCACAAAGATGTTTATCTTTCTATGATTGTCAGCACATTGTACTGGGGAAACATCTGTATTTCCATCAATTTCCAGCTGTAGAAGAAGGTAAAAATACAAAAAATGGTTTATTCAGACAGTTGACAATTAGTACAACAGATAAAATGTGTAAACTCCGTGAGATATATTAACTTGGATAGATCTCAACAACAAAGTAAAACAAAACCAGAAAGAAACAAAAAAAATTGCAGCAGGGTTAGTATGATAGAGTATCATTTACATAATTATTAGAACATGTAAAATAGTAGTTATTTTTAAAGAATATATTCATAGGGAATAAAAGAATGAAAAGAGAACTGAGCAGCAGTGTTTAAGATACTTTTATGAAGGGAAGCGGGGAAGGGGAAATGGAATCAGAAAGGAGAAGTACATCACCCTCCTTTTCCCCTCTCTCTATCTCTTTCTTGATCCTCTTCCCATTT